GGGTGAAATCTCATTGACAGCAACTAATGGTGACAACAGGTACCTGATACTATTGCTTAGTGATCATTCATCCACTGTCTCCCGAAATGAAATCTCAGTGCCCACTACCCCATCAAAGTGACAGGTTCTCTAAACACTGTCCCCGTTTACTTTCCCTGTCCTTCAGATCTTCCAGTTGGATGGTACCTGAGGAATTTCACTTCTCATCCCTGCTCGGCATTCCCCAGTGACTCCTTTTGCCTATTGAATTAGTAGAGATTGCTTATCCTCACTTGTAGACCTTCTATAACATCCAATCTGCCTGTCTAGCACTTCTCTGATTGTTTTCAGAATATATGCTTTAGCTACACTCATATTTCTCCAATGTGCCACACATGATGTTACCACACAGACTTGGCCCAAAGTCTGTCTTCCAAGGACACAATTCACTATCTCCCTGGAGGACTGTCCCAGCATGATGGAGTCTCTCCCACTTTTGAACTCCTATGATCCCATATTCATATCTCTCTTAAAACACTTGCCCCATTCCTTCTTGAGTTATGGGTAATCTTCAGGCGCTTCTTATCTCGCCCTATAGCCTATTCGGCTCCAGAGGGTGAGAATTGTATCTCATTTATTTACCATTGTTTCCCAAGAATACCTGACTGAATCTGACTCAATATACAGGTTCATTTGTTGCTTGCTGAATTGAATTTTAAGCAGGTGGTTTTTGCTTTTTTACATGGTGTTTGTTTTTAGAGCATACTATACTTGGTGTTAAGGGGGCTAGAAAAGAAGAAAGAGGTAAGTTTACCCAAAGGAATTGACAAACTAGCTGCAGAAACAAAAGTAAAATTGCAATTCTGTTTTCAACTTTCAGCAAGATATAAGTGAGAATATAATGTGTGCTAAGTATGATGATACATACATGTATAGTAGTCAACACTGGAGATACAGAGCATAAGTATTATTTAGAGCAGAGTTTGTTACACTGTGGTGACTTGCCTGTTGCTAGGATCGTGGAAGTATTTCAAATACGAGGAAGGTCACCTATGATAGAAAGGTTCAGCAGAGCTTCAAGACTGAAACAGACCAGGAAAAAAGACCTGGCGATCTACTTGTGAAAATCAGCCAATGGAAATTCTATGAACCACAACCAAATACTGTCCTATGTATGCAATGCTGGAAGATGAACCCCTTAGTTGGAAAACCATATATAGTAGCAACAATGGGCTCAAACATCCCAACAATCATGGAGACAGCATAGGATTGGGTACTGCTTCATAAGGTCATCATGAGTCAAAGGCACTGGATGGTTACTAATAATGAGGCAGATTGTAGATATATGTATATCTGTGATGTAGCTACCCACATATACTAAGCTCCAACCTAGAATAAGGTATAGGCTATCCATTTCTGAGTGACAAGTCACTGAAAACCTTTGAGTTGCTGTGGAACATAACAAAGTTTGCTGAAAACCTGGAATAGTTGTGGAGCATTGTCAGATAAGATAAGCCCCTCAGATTAGCAGGCACTCCACCAAATATGGCTCTCAAAGAAGAGTCAGTCATAATGACATGGATGGACTCAGCTGTCATTTACTGATGGGGAACAACTCAAAATGAGAAGAAACAGTTTAAATATCTATTAGTAATCAGAACTTGCAATGTAGGAAGATGAATCTAGGAACATTAAAAGCCATCAAAAATAAAGTGGAATGCATAAAGTTTGATATTCAATAAAATGTTAATAATGTCTACAAAGTGAACCAGGGACATATATTAATCATAGATATGTGAGTGGATTTTGAGCTTCCATTTAATTGTCAACCCAATCTAAGAACAGTTAGTCCTTATGCCATGGTTCTATGCAATAGTTGTTTGCATGATGACGAAGACTGAAGATATGGGTGCTAGACCAAAGAAGCCCTGGTCGTGTAGTGGTGATGCACTGTGCTGCTAGTCACAAGCATTTCAAATCCACCAGAACTCCTTGGGAGAAAGACCAGTTTTCTACTTCTGTAAAGAGTTACAGTCTTGGAAACCCACAAGGGCAGTTATGCCCTGTCCTATAGGGTCACTATGAATTGGGATTGACTCAATAGTAACGAGGTTTTTGTTTTGTTTTTAGTAAAGTGTGAAGAAACCAGATGGTGCCCAGCTATTAGAAAGAATACCTTCTGGAGTCTTAAAGGCTTGTCTTAAAACAAGCAGTCACCTAAATGAGGTTTCCATTAAGTTCACATGGAAGAAGCACACCAGCCTGGGTGATTCAATCGTAAATAATAAAATCCAAATTTAGAGGAGGGAATGGTATTAGTGGTTCAATTCTGAACATCCAATTTGCAGAAGATTGTGATTAACAGTGGAAGCCTCAAATTGATTTGTCAGGTCTCCATGTGGTTTAAGCCTCAGGTGACTCCCCTTTGACCATAGTCCAGGAATGTGAAAAGTCTTGCTATCAGATAGAAAACATTGTACAGTCAATTATATTAAAATGCAATACCTTATCATTTGATATCCCTTCAGACTCATTTAAATTTTGTTCTAGTTTTTAATATTTTCTTTCTTTTCTTTTTTAAAAAAAATCATTTTATTGGGGGCTCATACAATTCTTATCACAATCTAGACATACCTCCATTATGTCAAGCACATCTGTACGGTTGTTGCCCTCATCATTCTCAAAACATTTTCTTTCTACTTGAGCCTTTGGTATCAGCTCATTCCCCCCACCTTGTCCCCACCCTCCCTCCCTCCTTTATGAACCCTTAATAACTTATAAATTATTATTACCATATATACTCGTGTATAAGGTGAGTTTTTCAGCATATTTTTAATGCAGTTTTTGTGGTAAAATTAGGTGCCTCGGCTGATATTTGGATCAGCTTATACTTGAGTATATACAGCATTTTTTCATGTCTTACACTGACTGAAATCTCCCTTCACCCACTTTTCTGTGGTCTGTCCCCCTGTGAGGGGGTTATATGTCAATCATTGTGATAGGTTCCCCTTCTCCCCCCACCTTCCCCTTCCCCTCCTGGTATTGTGAGTCTCATTACTGGTCCTGAGGGGTTTATCTGTCCTGGATTCTTTGTGTTTCCAGATGTTATCTGTACCAGTTTTACATGCTCTGGTCTAGCTGTAATTGTAAGGTAGAAAGGGGATCATGATAGTGGGGAGGAGGAAGCATTAAAGAACTAGAGGAAAGTTGTATGTTTCATTAGTGCTATACTGCACCCTGAATGGCTCGTCTCTTCCTTGTGACCCTTCTGTAAAGGAATATCTAACTGTCTACAGATGGGCTTTTGGTCTCCACTCCACACTCCCCCTCAGTCACATTGATATGATTTTTGGTTCTGGATCTTTGATATCTGATACCTGATTCCGTCGACACCTCATGATCACATAGGCTGGTGTGCTTCTTCCATGTGGACTTTGTTGCTTCTCAGCTGGATGGCCACGTGTTTATCTTCAAGCCTTTAAGACCTTAGACGGTATAGCTTTTGATAGCTGAGCACCATCAGCTTTCTTCACCACATTTGCTTATGCACCCATTTTAGCTTCAGAGATCATGTCGGTAAGGTGAATGGAATGCCAGGTTATTAGAACAAGGTGTTATTGCATTGAGGGAGTACTTGAGTAGCGGCCCAATGTCCATCTGGTACCTTAACAATTAACATATAAATATATGCACAGATCTATTTTCCTGTCATTATATAAAAATATATTTACATATGTACATGCCTGTATTTGCACCTCTATAAATGCCCTTTGCCTCCTAGTTCTTTCCTATTTCCTTTTACTTCCTCTTTTCCCACTATCATGTTCAGCCTTCATTCAGGTTTCAGTAATTCCTCTCGGTTACATTGCCCTTGATCACTCCCTACCAGGTAGTCTACACCCTCCTCGTCATTGATTTTAAATCACTTGTTGTTCCCTTGTCTCTGGGTTTGTTAACACCCCTTCCTTTCCCTGGCCTCCCCCTCTCCCATGTCCCCCTGGGACTGTTGGTCCTGTTGTTTCTGCTTCCTCTTCTATTGAGGTTTTTCTCTGGTTTTATCACTGTTCTTATTTTTGTTTTGTATGTTTCCTGAATATGCACCACAGGATAGGTAAATCTACAGATGCAGTAACTGGCTTAATAATAACCTAGGGGCTTGGCAGGGGAGGTTGGGGGATATGGCGAGCTATAAAACAATAGTACAAGAAAGAAGAAAATATTCGAAAATTGATTGTTATGATTGTACAACTCTTCTTAATATGATTGAACTATTGCATTGCAGGTGAATTATATGTCAATAAGAAAAAGAACTGAAACTTTAAGTATGAATTACAACTCAATGTACAGAAAACCAAAATCTTTCCAACTGGACCCACATCATGATAATAAAGGAAAAGGATGACGTTCTTAAGAATTTCATCATGTCTGGATCCACAATCAATGGAAGAAGCAGTCAAGAAATCAAAAGACCTCTTGCACTGGGCAAATCTACTGCACAAGACTTCTTTAAAGGGTTTAAGAGCAACAAGCCACTTTCAGGACAAAAGGTGTGCCTGACCCAAGCCATGGTATTTTCAATTGCCTCACATGCATGTGAAAGTTGGACACTGAATATGGTAGACTGACAAAAATTTATGCATTCGAATTATGGTGCTGGTGAAGAATACTGAAGGTACCATGGACTGCCAGAAGAACAAGCAAATATGTCTCGGATGAAGTACAACCAGAAAGCTCCTGGGAATTGAGGGTGGAGAGGCTTCATCTCACGCACTCTGGACGTATTATCTGGAGAGAGCAATCCCTGGAGAAGGACATCACGCTTGGTAAAGTAGAAAGACAGTGAACAAAAGGAAGACCTTCAACAAGATTGCTGGAGACAGTCACTGCAGCCACAGTCTTCAAGCCTAACAGGGCAGGGCAGTGTTTGGGTATGCTGTGCACAGGGTCCTTATGACTTGGAATTGATTGATGGCCCCTAACAGCAACTTTTCATTTTATGAAGCAGGAGATGGAAGCCTTACCTGGCGATGCTGCATGTTCCAGGTGGCCTAGTCGGGGCTGCTCGGTGACTCTGTAGATCAAGGCTGCAGGCTCGCTGTCCTGGTCGGTGGCTGATAGTTGCAGAGTGGTGATTTTCTTCACTGAGTTTTCATCTAAGACCAGACCTTTATTGGTGGTGATGACTGGCGGGAATCTATCTTCTAAAAATATCAGACACAGTGATTTGAAATGCATCTGTATAGCTTCATTTCCTCCCTGATTTTAGACTTGGTGCCTCGGGGTAAGGTCAGAGTAACCTTTATGCCTGGCCTTGAGAGAATGTGCAGAGAAGCCAAGACTTAGCATGAAGCGAGGGTATGATTAACATATTGCCAAGGTGAAGTAAAGGGCTCCAGCCAAGCATGATGTTAAATTAAACAGCCTCAGAGCTGTGGAAGAATTTTTTTACGAGAAGCCCCATGTCCCCTTACCTAAAACGTTGATGGAAAATGATTGGCCAGTCAATTTGTTGCCTTCTTCATCAACCACATCAAATTTAAAAGTAAAGCTGCCTCCAGACTCTCCCTTTCCGTGACTATATTCTACTTGCCCTGTAAAAAGAGAAGAGGAAGTCCAGATTTGCTCCCTGCCCTTATCTCTGAAGTGTGAGGTGGGATTTGATTGGTATTTACACCAGTGAATCAGTTCACACCTTCTTCATGTCTATTATCACTTTTGACATTTTAATCTAAAGTTTCGCTTTCTCTCCCCCTATCAAATACTTCAAAACCAAGAACTTCTTAGAATAAAATTCACCCAAAGTGCTATCCCTGATGGTTGAGGCTCAGCCTTTTCAAAAGGCGACGGGGTCCCTAGGTGGTGCACATGGTTAATGTGCTCAGCCGCTAACCGGAAGTTTGAGCCTCTGCAGAGGTGCCCCAGAAGAAAGGCCTGGTGATTTTCCAGGCCACTGAAAACTATGAGCCGTTCTGCCACGCAACACAGAGAGTTGCCCTGGGTCCAAATCAATTTGATAACAAGGCTGCAGCTTAACCTTTCGTGAGACTTCCTGAACGACTAAATCATCAGAAGGACCCACATGTAAGCGTGCACCAGCTCAGTCATCCCACTTGGTGGGTCCTGTGCACAACTGTATCGCAAGAACACAAACTACAGTCCATGTGCGTTCAGCCAGGACTGTTCCCCTCCCCTTCCCTAGTACAGCTTCCAGTAACTGTTAGCACTACATGGGCTATGACCAAACACACACAAGTAAGCAAATATATAAACTCTAAAAAGAAGTCAAAAGATCCAAAGAAAGAAGTAGAATGTATCCTACCTTTCTAAACCCAAAGCATCATTTCTGTTTGTTTTCGGTCAAAGTGTCCATTAGCTGACAGTTATGTCGTGACTGGAGCCTTGGGTGAGGCAAATGGTTAAGAGTTGGGCTACTAATCAAAAGCCTGGTGGTTCAAATCCAACCAGAGGCACTCTGAAAGACGGGCTTATTGTCTATTTTCAGAAGAGTTTTGATAGGTGCTATGTGGGGGTCCCTGGTTGGGTAGGAGGTTATGCTTTGGGCTGCCAACCACAAGGCGAGCAGTTCAAACCCAGCTCCTTGGGCGAAAGACGAGGCTTTTCTCTCCAGTAAAGAGTCACAGTCTTGGAAACCGACAGGGCAGTTATGCTCTGTCCTCTAAGTCGGCATGAACCAGAATAGACTTGATGGTAGTAATATCCAAATATCCAAATTACGTATCAATGTTCTCAATCCTTACAACAACCATTTTATAAATAAAGAAATGGAGGCACGGAGTTTATGACACTCAAACAAGGCCACCCAGCTAGTACACAGCACAGCTTAGGCTCATGGTCCTAACTTACTGTTCAGTGTTAGCCTTGGTGTCTACTGCCATTGCTAATGTAACTGATAAAGAACTGGCTCCTTGCTAGCTTGTGTGGCAAACCAAAACCAACCCCCCTGCCAATGCATCGTTGCTATCCTGGAGGCCAGGGCTGAACTGCCAATGCATCGTTGCTATCCTGGAGGCCAGGGCTGAACTGCTAATGCATCGTTGCTATCCTGGAGGCCAGGGCTGAACTGCCCTTGTGAGTTTCTGAGACTGGAACTGTTTATGGGAGGAGAAAGCCCTGTCTTTCTCCCAAGGAGTGGCTGGTGGTTTCAAACTGCTGACCTTGCAGTTAGCAGCCCAGTGTGTAATGACTACAAGCTTGCATAACAGCACTTATGAGATTCTGCTTGAGATGAAACTATTGTTTTTAACACTAAGAATTCTTTGCCTGGGTATCTTAATTATTGTTCTAAGTTTCTGTCAACGTAACTGGAACCAAACATCTGAGAAGCTATGGCTGCTTTCATTTGTTTAGAAGGAGACACGAAGGCAGGAGAGAATTCGGGAATTTCATCTCCTTGCCCATTCTAAGAAGCCCTGATGGTGCAGTGGGTGATGAGTTGGGCAGCTGATCAAAAGGCCCGCAATTCAAAGCCACCAGCAGCTTCTTGGGAGAAATATGAGGCTTTCCGTTCCTGTAGAGATTTACACAGCGGAAGTTCTACTGTCCTATCTGGTCACTGGGAGGCGGAATGGGGCTCCATGGGGATGATGATTTTTTCTGAGCAGCTCACTCCACCCTCTTCACTAAAGCACCCTGGGTACAGGGAGAGTTTGGCTGATCTCAAGGTTGGGTATTAGAGCGTGGGCTGCTTTCTGATCCTCAGGGGCATAGTTCCACCTCTGCGTGGCCTCACGTGACTTTGGATTACTTTCCCTCACCCTGATAGATAACTTTCTCGGTTAACCCAGCCAGCACTGTACAGTAACTACGTAGCAGTTAACATTATGCCACTGCACGACACATCAGCATTTCCAGGAGGAGGGATGAGCTATGCGATTTCTCCTACCCAGCTCCGATTTATGCTCTTCCATTTTGCTTAGTTCATTAACTTGTGCTCTTTGGGGAGCTGAAAAAGAGATATAAATTGCTCACCTAAGGAAGGCATAATTTTCACCTTAATCCATCCCTATTCCTTTTCACTTTTCTCTCCCTCACAAACACATTTTAACATCACAGCAAGTCAGAATGATTTTCCCTTCATAATGTAGCCCTGACTTTCAAAAATGTTATGTCAAAGCTGGAACCTAGCTTAGCCAAGAAAGACAGCTTTCTTTTTTTCTCAGTTAAACAAAAGGTCTGAGGAGACAAGAAAAAGAATACACGATGCTATCATTCAGCACTTATTCAGAGAGGGGAGAGTTCACGACGGCCTTCCAGGCATTCCGCTCCAGGTTGACGCGTCTGGGTGGAAATGGCATGAGCAAAAGAGAACTGACTGACCTTGGCTGATGTCGGCCTGCGTGAAACTCCGGGTGGGGCCCTTCACAGAGATGTGCTCCAGGTTGTCACGTTTCACCATCTGCAGGCGCCCCACAGCAGGCTCTTCCTTCATGATGTACACAACCCGGTGGTCGTCTGAGTCACTATCGGTCACTTTCAAGTGCTGCTCCGTGATGCGTGCCACGGACCCTAGGTGGTTATGGAAGACAGTAGGTCATTCCCCATCGTTTTTCTAAATGAGATGTCAAGTGATTTTCAGAGGGTAGAGACTAAATTATCACACATTTTTCGGGTCCAAACACCCCAAAATTGCTCTTCTCGGTTTCTAGCTGAATGAATGTTTAGTTCCCTAAGTGAAAGAGTCCCACATTTCTATTTTCTAATCATCCTTTGAGTACACAGCTGAGTCTTTTTTTTCTTCTGATCCATCTTCACGTTCTTCCGCTTGTTGCTGTTAGTGGCCACCAAGTGGGTTCCCATTCGTGGAGTGCCCACGTGAGCAGAGGAGAACAATAGTCCACAGGGTTTTTAGAAACAGATCATTTGAGACACCTCTGAGTGGTGTGAAGAACCAATCTTACAGTTAGCTGTCCAGCACTTAACCGTTTATGCCACTCCGAGAGTCCTCACATTCTACCAAGGCTCCCTTTATGCTGATGACCTGCTAGCACCAATGTAATTATTCCTAAATCTATACTGAAAATAACTCTTAGATCTGTGATGAAACCTTCTTCCAGCTGATTTAGTTACTGTCTTGAAGATCACCAAATCATACAGAATGCATCTTTGCCAGAACTCATGGACCTATCTTGCCATCTGAAACCGCAGAGGCGAAGTCATCGGTCTTTAAGACAAAGGGTACAGTGGGATTGTGGCGCAGGGAGGTTTGAGCTGGAAGGCCAGCACACTGCACAAGCGTAGGGGATGGAGAAACAGTACTGGCTAATAGAAGCAGATCTTCTTGGAGCCTTGGTCCTTGTTTTCCTGTCTAGCAATTTTACCCTATTAAAAAAGAATAAATTATAATCAAGTAGATCCTAGTCATTTGCATAGGCTATCTCCTGGTATTTGGAGTGGCAATCTACCTCAGGCCCTGAATGTCCTTGCATTGTTGCTGGTTAATGTCCTTGCTGGTTAAGGCCAAGAATGCAAGGCCCTACCTGCTCTTTACCTGAGCCATTTCTCAGCAAAGAACCTTGAGAAGGAGCGTTTTCCTCTGGGACAAAGCTCAGGCTTGCCTACTGCTTGTTATAACAGGATCAGTCCCCTAAACTCAGGGCTCCTCTTCTGTAATTCATCCCACTGCGTGGGGAATATAATAGCAGAGAAGTAAGGAGAGTAAAATCAAATCCTGGACCTGATACTAGGGCATGGGGAACCCTCAAGTTCTCAAGCGTCAGTTCTACTCTGTGCCATAGGGTGGCGTAAGTTGGGATCGACTCAATGGCAGTGGAGATTATACCAGATATTTTTCACTACAAAATACACGTGAGATTAAGAAGAGATAAGAGCCAGAACCTTATCAAAGTGCACGTGCCCTATAGATGAGCATCTCCCTAATTAAGACACTTTCTCCTGAAAATGATGACCTCCTCACTGCCCCTCCACACCTTTTTTCATTGGCTTCTTGAGAATCCTGCTAGATTTCTTTTTTTAAAAAATCATTTTATTGGGGGCTCTTACAACTCTTGTTACAAACCATACATCAATCGAATCGTGTCCAGCATATTCCCACATATAGTCCATCATTCTTTTCCTGACCAGCTCCTCTGTTTTCTCCCTCCCTCCCCACCCCATAATCCTCATGGCCCCTGACAGATCATAGATGATTAATTATTCTCAAATCTCACTCCAGAGTGTTACTTATTTTCAAATCTCACTCCGACCACCATCTCCCTTCCCCTCTGGTTTCTGTTGTTCTTCCCCGTGGCTGGGGGTGTGTGGTTATGCGCCATTCATTGTGATCGGTGCCCCCTTCCCTCCTCACCTCTCCCCTCCTTCCTCCTACCCTTTTGGCGTCTCTACTCCCATTGCTGCTTGTTTCTGTAGTACCTTAATGGCAAGGTCGCAAGAAACCCAAGCATCGCAGGAGCTGCGTAAATTAACATTTCTGAGGACTTTGTAAACTCTATAAACTCATATCTCTTTATTTCTCTCTCTCAAATTCACAAATGGAGGCAAGTGGGCAACAAATTTCAGAGGTCCACATTTGTCCCACAAAACAAGAATAGTTTTAAACTTGCGCCTCAAGTTCTGAGCAGTTAGTTCGACATCCACCCATAAAATGGATGTGGAATGTGCTCACATACTTAGCCAACAGGAAATAAGGAGAGAAGAATCCCGCCTCCCCCGCCCCCCACCTTCCATTCTCCTGTTACCTGCTGAGAGCTGTAGAACCCGCCCCCACCCTTCCATTCTCCTGTTACCTGCTGAGAGCTGTAGGCCCCGGTTAACAACCAACTGGAGTGTGTCCTCTGTAGGCAACTCTATGTAGATCTCCATCCTCCCCGTGTCAGCATGTTGGCCATCAGTGAGGGAGAACCGAAACTCATCCAATGCCACACCCTGAACACTTGGCTTGAACCAAATCAACTGGTCCAGGACATCCTGGTAGGTGAAGGAGGAGCCCGGGGCTAAAGCCCTCCCACTCTCTAGAGGCTCAGAGGCAGTTTGCTTCCACACTAGTTGACCTGAAGAAGGAAGGGCAGAAAAACAAAGGAAAGATGACAAAATCGTTATGGGGTTAAAACAGTCTGATTTCACGGGCTAGTGTCGGCCTGAGCACAATGTCAAGCACTTTAGGGCTCCTGTGACCACTGTTTTATATATAAGCACAGGTTGCTGCTCCTGGGGCCTCATTGGAAAGGGAAAAAAAAAAGACCAAGTCAGACTTTCCCTGGCCAAGAATCTCTTAAGAAGACACAGATGGATGCGACAGAGTAGCCTAGAACGTCCCGTCACAAGCTCAGACTACCTTCGTTACGTGCACCTTATTTTCCCTGGCTAGACATGGAGATGGCACCCTTCCCTGCAGCCTTCTTTCCTGCTACGGCGGCTGGGCTGGGAGACAGGAATGTGCTCCAGATTCCCCTTAGACAGATTTAAAACACACATATTTCTAAAATGCAGAAATATATTCATAAAATAACTTTAGGTGGAGACATGCTGTCCAATGTTCGAGGGGCATGAGTATTGCAACCAGCCAATCAAAGTGCTTCATTCGGGAAAAGTGAATGAGAGGGAAGGTAACAAAACATGAAGGCCCACAGCCTCTACGATGGAGTCTCCTGCAACAGCAACGCAGTTTCCCTTTAAAGTACCAATGGGCAGTACCACAACACAGACACTGTATTTGGATAAGGTGACCAGATTTTAACATTGGTAAAGTGGGCCACCATTGATAAAACTCATAGCCTGGTGAAATAGCCACATGGCAGCCGAAAACCGTATACCCTAGCTTGTCGTGCATTGTTTCCAAAAATTGGGACTTTTTGGAACAAATTGTCCCACAAGACGTGGGACAGATTGTTAAAAATCGGGACTATCCCACCAAAAGCGGGATGTCTGGTCACCTTATATTTGGAAGAAGAAAGTTCTAGGGCTTTAGCTAATACCAGAGGGATGGGCGCTTGGAAAAGTAGCTAGCAGATTCCAGTGGCTTTTGCCCTGGTTTTAGCCAGGAAAAGGGCTTCTTGTGCAAAACCAGAATAAGCTCATAGAGATGCCTAGCACATCTCTAACCTGAGGTGAACACCTTTGGCACATAATAACAAGACTGCCACATGGTTCTCTGTATGAGAGAGGCCCAGAATTACGAAGCCAGCAAGATGCTTGTCTGGCCTATGAAAGCAGTATGCACACTTGGAAGCTCGTTTTGCCTAAGGCTACCAGGAAAGTAAGAAAACAGCGAAATTAAATTTCAGAGACCACAATTACCTCAGGCTCAGGCGTTTAGATCAACCTGTGTCTACTGTGACCCCAAAGAATTATTAGCCAGCTGAATTTGATTATACTTTGATACACAGGATAGGTAAAGGAAAAGTCAACTGAAATCTGTGTTTATTCTAATAACCCAAAGGGCACCCCAATTAAGAAGATCTCCACAGCGGGTTGCGTCCTACCGTGGCCAGGCTTTTGGGTCAAGACAAAAATTAGCTCATTATCTGGGGTGTCCAAGTCTTCCAGGCTCACAGAAGAATTGCTTATCGCCACTCCTGAGCTTAGCTGCACCCTGAGGGGCTGGAGGGTCATCCTAGGAGGCTCATCATTCTTCCTCTGATTGAAACACAAAGCAGTAGGTCACATACTAGTTTAAGGATAGAGAAAATGCACATTATCACTGTCACAGCAACTTTGACCATTGAAATAGGTTCTTATTTTAAATAAAAATGTTGTTTTGGAGTTATTTGGAGTTACTGAAAGGGGGCCAAGATACACGTATACTCTTCATTAAGAGTCCCCTAATGTTAGTGTCTAACCATGATACACTTGTCAAGACCGAGACATGGATATTGAAACAATATCAGTATCTGAAAGCACAGGGTGTGAGCTTGTTTGATGGTTTTTCATCCTTAAACGGGGGTTTGGGGCTTAGAAAAAAAGAACACCACAGAGATGTAGTGTTCTTGTCATCCCATTCGATATTAGAAAGCAGACGGTCTCCATTGAAATAGATTGTAATGTGTCACCATCGCCATCCATCAACCAAAATGATAGAAATTAAGTCACATAGACAAATTGGCCCCTTGATAAGAAGCTGCTGGACCTGCTGTAAAAGCTCAGTTATCGTCCATCAGCCCAATGATATTACTCCTCAAATGAGGAAAATAGGACCTGTGGTCCACTAAGTACACGTGAGGGATAAGAGGACAGGCCACTGGCTCCAGTACTGTCTGAGGGGGGGAAAGAAATATATATATATATATATAGCTTTTGAGTGCATATAAAACCTATCTAGTGGTGTTATTTTATGATTTAAGGCTTAATGTTCCAACTTCCAAAGTCCCTTACCTCAATGGTGATATTGACGCTGTGAATTTCCGAACGACTGGTTCCATCACTCACATAAAAACTAAAAATATCATGGGTTGGTTCAATGCTTTCATGAACGCTCTGAAAGTAGTAGATGTAGTTTTCTAGAATGTCTTGAATTGGGAATGATGCCTCCAAGTCACTGGTAGCCCCAGGGCCAAACCGAGCACCTGCATCAACATCATGAGGAGAGCTTTTAGCTTAATCCATCCATTCCTGTGTACCAGGCTGACTTAGAAGCAAAATCACCATGGTGAACAACGGATGAAAATCAGATGGCGAATCAAGATAGGGCAGTGGTATGAGTACAAGATGAGGAACTGCAAGACCTGGGATCGAATCCTAGTTTCTTCTCTACATATGGTTGTAGCGCTTTCTGCTGCCTCTTCAGGGAATTAGATAAGGTGGTTCATTTGAAAGTACTCGGGATACTACTGTTTCACAAAGCACAGACTCCGTGGTTGTGTTTTTAGCAATATCTGAGAACAGAAGTCCTGGAGTGAGTGACAATACAAGAGTGGAAGCTCCTCTACCTCAAACTCCAGTCACTTTTAAAGCCACTTTACTGGAATGCCCTGAAAGCAGCAGCCTTTGTCTCTACTCAAGAAAAATGTTAACTGTGAACCAGGCCTGGAAGTCCCTCAGTGGGGCAAATGGTTAATACCATCACTGGCTAAGTAAATGGTTGGTCTATCCAGAAGGGCCCCAAAAAGAATAGCCTGTCAATCTACTCCTCCCCAGCCCCCAGCCCCAAATTAGCCATGAAAAACTCAACAGGGCACACAGCATCTCTCACAAGCATGGGTGTAGCGGGCGCCGTGCGCTGGCGTTGATGTGATGGCAACTGGTAACATCATGTTTAGCTGAGCAATCTCTCCCTCTCAAACATAGGCTTTCATTGTCCCTTCTCAGTCCCTTCAAGAACCCTGGGCCTGGGGGAGAAGGCATCCCCCGAGACCCTATAGCAGGGCTACCAGGTGCGAGGCTGTTATCCTTGAAGGTAGGGCAGAGAGTACTAGCTGACTCTTCTCATCCCAACCCTAGACACTGCAAAAAGCCAAGGAGGGGGTTGGCAATGTCCACATGATAGAGTTGTTGTCTCTCATTGATTCTAATGAGTCCCTCTGATTGATTGATTTCAAATGGTTACCATAATTTTCTTCTGGAAAGAAGAGGGAAAAGAAACCCTGAGCCTTCAAAATTCACAGGAGATCTGTCAACGCAGAAAATATATACATAGTAGATCTGAAAGCAACCAAGCTTCCCCCTTCTGTCCCTCAGGGACCTTTGCAAACAAACACCAGGTCATAAACTTAAAGACCACAAGTTTCTTGAATTGTAGACACTGCCATTTTTGTGGTTGCTGTTGTTGATAGGTCAAGAGAAATATATTTCTAGGAATATAAAGTGTTATTTAAATTCCATTTGTTTTTTTAAAATTCCATTCATGTCTGAACTAAAGACTCAGAACAAATATTTTTCATCAACAACATTGATTTTCTTAAATTTCACCCTTCAGAGACAGTTCAGAATTTCCAAAAGTAATGGTACACCCTCAAGCTTCTATTTTTTTCCCTTCCATTGATGATTGTTTAAGTATGGAAAATGTGACTTCACTCTATGACCGAAAAATTGCCTCCATGAAGCGAATGGTGCTTGGAAACAAGAATAGAAACACCTCTGTTAGATCACTGGAGACAAAGTGATCCCACTAGTAAACCTGTCACTGACGCCTCGCACACAGATTCTTTCGCCATTTTAAACTAGACATTTTACTTTTGATATAGAGCATTTGAAAACCTCATATTGTGAATGGAGTGAAGGTTTACAGGGCAGATCAGTGTTTTCCATCCAACAATTCATACAGATATTATTTTTGTGGGCATATAAATCATTCTAATTAATGTGCTTCCCTGCCTTCTGAAATAGGATATACAATGTGCAAATAAATAGTCTGGAGGCAGTCGGGCTTTCATTATAAACATCTTTTATAGCACTGCACTGGAATATAGTGATGCCCCGAGGTAACCCAGGTGGGTCCTATCCTCTTTGTGCATGTCCCAATCCATGTTTTTGTATTTCATGCCTTGTTGGTAAGAAATAAAAAGTGTGTCTTTAAACAGTCTTAAAAAAGATGTTCTTCTGATCAACTGGGTTCTGAATCTAGGTATCTAGTTTCCCATATATAGAGCGGAGTTGGTTCTGAATAGAGGCTGAAGGGTCTGTTCCATGAAGCAATGAGTGGGGTTCTTAGCTGATGGACCTTGGATGATGATTTTAGGCTGCAGAAAGCCTGTCACTTCCTTCAGGTTCATGCCAAAGTCAGAGAGCCGTGGTTCTCCAAATGTGACCCTAGGGTGAGCAGTAAGGGTCAAATGCAAGTTCACCCCTGATCTCCTGAACGGGAATCCTCGGGAGAGTGTGTGTCCATGAGCCTGTCGTCTAGCAAGACAGCCAGGTGATGGATGCCTGTGCATGTAGATAGTTCGAGAGCCGCTGCTTTACGAGGCTGGTGCTTGTCAGAGGTTTGCCTTTGGGTCCAGTGAGCTCCCTATGGCTTACAGGTAAACATGAAACCACGTGAGAAAGGCTCACTGAGAAACCACATGGAGAGGAGGCATGGTTGGGAACAAACATCCTTTCAGTTCATGGTCGGCCACTTGTGCCCACACTTGTGTCATTGGGAGAAAGGCCACTCCCCTGGGTACATGGCAAATACTCCTAAGCCTCTCCGTTCCTATTTCAAGATCACTACCCTGGGTGGTGCAACCAGTCAAAGGATCTACGAGCCAACAGGTGAGCAGTTCAAACTCACCCGCAAGTGCCTGGGGTGGCGGGGTTTGCAATGTGCTTCTGGAAAGCACTGCAGAAGGCATTCTTGATAACAAAATAACCATTCTTTGACTTTTCTGCCTCCCTAGATAAAAAGGATGGTTTTGAACTGTGTACTCTCGCGGGGCTTTGCTCCTTCCCCTGACCTGGCATTTATTATCTATGGTAATTTATCTGTCTTCACAACTGTCTCCCATGTGGCATGTGGCAGAGTTTGTGTTTTATTGATCATTACCTTGATTGGATCTGGCACAGCATTGGTTGGGATACACCGAATTCAGCGAGAAACAAATCTGAGGATATACATTAGAAGGCAGGATGGGGAAAATCCCTTCCACTTTCTGCAGGGAAACATGACCACTGCTAAAAGAGTTTGGTAACCAGATTCCAGGCACCTTGCTGGCCACAGACTTCTTCCTCCTATGGCCTCTGTGGGAGCTGTTAGCTGAACGCCAATTAGCGCCAAGGGCTGGATCTCATTGCCAAGTCAGTGGTGCAGCAACCTGCCCTGAGCTGTCTGAACTGCCAGTCGCTCTGGGTCTCAGGGGGCCTGGAGTCAGTCCACACCTTCTTGCCTTCCCATCTCTGTGATGACCACCAAGGGCGGTAGGCTGCGGGCAGGTGGTGGAGGGACAGGGATATTACAGAGGGTGTCACAGATGGACAGGTGCACATTTCAATTCAAGTCCTGGTCTGAAAAGCAGTCACGGTTCAGCTGAGCCACAGCAGCCTCACAGCGAAAGGACGGGCATTTTTATTTCCTCGACACTCAATCCTGAGTGCAAACCACAAGCTCTCCCACTCCAGGGGCTGCCTTCTGAGTCCCCTTACCCGGTTCTAGTTTGGGTTTTCCCAAAGACTTATTCACCTTTTACTACCACAATTTTCTCATTTATTGGGGTTCTTCTCGTTCTCCCTCCCTCAAGACCTGAGGCACCCTGAGGGCAGGGACTCTTGGTTTGTTCTGTTCATTGCTGGGCCCCCAGTGCCTTAAAAAGTACATCAACACAAAAAGCACTGAGTACATTTTTCGATAAATGAACCCATCCTGTCCCCCGTTTTGCTGAAACAGTTCTGTTTTCTTTAGTTCTCACCCAGGCGTCCTATGATGCAGTGATCTCCCCCACCCTCCCCTTTGTCCAGGTCCTGAAACCATAAGATAGTAGAGCCGCTGCCAATACCTGTTCCGGTGTTCTCAATGCAGCCGTATTTGGGCAGAGCACTCAGTTTAATGATGGCATCTTCCTGGAGGTTGTCCTGTTCCTCAGTAGCAAAGAAATGGTGAAATGAGAGTGGGGCTCTCCCCCCCTCATCGACCTAAGGAAGAAAAAAAAAAAGCACCATCCCTGGGTGGTTGGGCATAACGGCAGTAAAACACAATGTCATTGACCTTATAGGACCCATTGCACCCATTACCCTCCTGTGAGGACACGGACAGATGGGATGAGCAATGTGTGTGCCGCCAAAGTAAGACACCTCTCCGGCCCTCTCAGAGCTCCACTGAAGACCAGATGACGACAGTGGCTCCTTTCAAAGCCAGGCTCCAGTGAACGATGGAGCTGGTGGTAAAGCAGCCCCGGCCCGTTCTCATCCCGTCCTCGGCACCGCTGCACAATGGGACGGCTGCCTGCCTACTGTTTCCACATCCCAAAGCCTGCAGTCAGAGCACGATCGATCCAGGCCCCCTTGGGTCCTGGGGAGGAGAGACGGTTCTTTCGTCATTCTCGTCCAGAACAAAGGTCCTCTTTATTTCCTGAGGTATATATTTATAGGTGTGCCAGGAAGAAAGGGCTTGCCATACCTGGAAGTTAGTGCCGTCTGAATGTCAAGGATGGAAATAAACCAGTAACACAGAAGCCGTTGCTGAAATGAACCCTTGCTCTCAGGGCCCTGTCTTACATGCTAATTCCTGACCTCTACTTTGCGGGGCTTATTTTTTGTTAGCCAGAGAGAAATAACCATTCCATTTCGGTCTGAACAGCCGCTAGGCTCGCTGCACAAAGTGGAAGAGCATCCTGACTTTGTGAGTGCGGAGGCCCCACGTTTCTCCTCCCAGGTATGGAAAGGAAAACGGGAGAAATACGGAAACCATGTGGAAGCACGGAAAGTTTCAGAGATGTTCATTTGGACCAAAGCAAGAAAACTCCTGCCCGTTTAGCACTGTAGATCTTAGAACAGAAAGAGGAATTCCGTTCTGGTGACTGCCCACCCCGGGCCATGTATCCTGCTCAAAATACCCTGTGACATTTTACTTCATCCACAGACCGACCTCTGTATGTATTAGAAAAAAATGATATCTTAAAGATAAGGACAGTGTTGCCCAGGAGGATGAAGTAACTGGTCAAGAGTTACTCAGGTATTCAGTAAGAGAACCTTGTCTTGAACGCAGGTCTGGACAACTTTATCCATCAGCATACAAGTATCGCACCCCAAGGAATTATCAGTATCATTTACAGCGATGCATATCAACTTGATTTAAAAAGCAATTTGATTTTGGTAATGATTGTACAACTCTTCTCGACGTGACTGAACTATTGAATTATATGTGAACGATGCGCCCATAAAGTGACCTCTATGCCAATGAAGCTGTTATTGATATGTGAACTAAATGCCAATAAAACTGTTTAAAAAATAAAGAGCAAGTTGAGGATATAATGCTCATTCCTCACATTTTTAGTTGCTGTCAACAATAGATTGTATTGTATTCCTGACTTTATTCCTGATGGTATTAATGTTTAGTGCTTGGCATCTAAATATCAGCACATTAAATAAATATGATGTTGAGGATACCCCACTTGAATTTTGAAGCCATCTAAGAACTGATCTGACACATTGAACACTCATGACAGAAGACCCGATGAGCTGGGAGATGAAATCAAGCTCACCATGATGTGAAGAAAGCCAAAGGTCATTATAAAGTCAGGAAAGAAAGCAAATATCCAAGTGGATGCCAGAAGAGTCTTTGAAACTTGCTCCTGAACGTACAGTAGCTAAAGCAAATGGAAGAAACAATAAATCGAAAAACTGAATAGAAAATTTTAAAGCCCCTCACCCCCAAGGGGGATGAACAACAGAAATGTGGGTGAAGGGAGACAGCAGGGGTATACGATATAAAAATAATAATAATTTATAATTTATCAAGGGTTTATGAGGAGGGGACGGAAGAAGGGAGGGAGGGAGGGAGGGAAAACTGAGGAGCTGATAGCAAGGGCTCAAGTAGAAAGAAAATGTTTTGAGAATGATGATGGCAACAAGTGTACAAATGTGCTCAATACAATTGATGTACGGATTGCTAGTAAAGCTATAAGAGCCTCCCAATAAAATGATTTTTTTAAAAACAGGAAAAATTAATTAAATTAAAATATTTCAAAGGGCAGCTCTAGAAGACAAAGTATAATAATGAAATGTGCAAAAAGCTGGAGTTAAAAAGCCCCAGAAAGAACACGCTCAGCATATCCCAAGCTGAAAGAACTGGAAAAAAAAAATCCATGCGCCGAATTGTAATACTGAAGGATTCTGTGGGCAAAAGATCGAATGATGCAGGAAGCATTAAAAGGCAGTGGAAGAGTCACTGCATCCAAAGAACTAGTCAACCTTCAACCATTTTCAAAGGTAACATATGATCAAGCACTGATGGTATTGAAGGAAAGCCAAATTAAAATGTTTCAACAAACTGAGGAAGCACTGGAAGCCTTCACTTGTTTATGTCAAGAAATTTACAGACAGCTACCTGCCCAACCCACTGGAAGAGATCTATATTTATACCTATTCCAAAGAAAGATGGTGAAACAGTGTGGAAATTATTTTTAAAATCAGCTAAAGATCACTCAAAATTGGTTGCAGCAGTTTATCAACAGAAAGCTGCCAGAAATCCAAACTGCATTCAGGTTTGAGGGATATGATTGCTTATATAAGAAGGACCTTGGCTGAAAACAGAGACTATTAGAAAGATGCTTTCTTGTGTTGTACTGATTATGCAAAAGCATTTGGTTGTGTGGCATGTTGACCTGAAATGAAATAGGGGAACATTGCACGATTTAAAATCAGGAAAGGTGTACATCAGGGTCATATCCTTTCAACATATGTTTTCAATCTGTATTTGAAAACTCCTCTAACTCACTGCTATTGAGTCAAGTCTGACTCACGGATATCCCATAGGGCGGGGAAGAACTGTCTTGGTGGGCTTCTGCCACTGCCACTTTGGTGGTTTTGAACTGCTGGCATTGAGAATGATAACAGCCCAAAGAGTAACCACTACACCAACAGGGCCCCTACTCACTCTGTATGCTGAGCAATTAATCTAAGAAGCTGGACTATATATCCGAAGAACATGGCATCAAGATTGGAGGAAGGCTATTAACAACATATGCAGATGACACAATCTTGCTAGCTGAAGCCAGGACTTGAGCACTGGTTGTTGAAGATAAAACACTGAAGCCTTTATTATAAATTGTAAACTCATTGTTAATAAAACCAAAATCTTCACAGCTGGACAAATACATAACATCATGATAAATGAAGAAAAGATTGAAGTTGTTGAGGATTTTGTCTTGCTTGTATCCACAATCAATGCTCATGGAAGCAGTAGTCAAGAGATCAAATGATGGTTGGTTGGGGGGGAAGTGGGAGAAAGGGAGAACCGATCACAAGGTTGTATATATTAACCCCTAAGCCCTTCCTCTCCCCACCGCGGGGGACGAATAATAGAAATGTGGGTGAAGGGAGATAACAGATGGGCTAAGATACAAAATAACAATAATAATATATAATCGATCAAGGATTTAGGAGGGTGGGAGGAGAGGGGAAGGAGGGAAAAAAAGAGGAGCTGATACCAAGGGCTCAGTAGAAAGAAAATGTTTTGGAAACGATGGCAACAAATGTACAAGTGTGCTTGAAACAATTATATCATGGATTGTTATAAGAGCTGTAAGAGCCCCCAATAAAATGATTAATTAAAATTAAAAAAAGAGAAGAAAAACAAGAAATCAAATGACTGTCCTCCAAAAATGCGCTGCAAGAGACCTCTTTAAAGTGTTTCAGAGCAATGATGTCACTTTGAAGACTAATGTGTGCCTGACCCAAGGCATGGTATTTTCAATTGCCTCAGATAATTTGAAAGTTGGGGAATTAATTAAGGAAGTGTGGTAGTCACCTAATCTGGTGTCAATGTAAGGATGAACACTGTAGGGGTGGAGTCTAGGCTGTCAATCTGGAGACAGCCAATGAGACTTCTGTGTGGGCATAGCCTTCTTCTGAGAATTCTGGGTAATCTGGTACTTCCTCCTTGGAGGTGGAAGATACCTCTCTCTCTGCTACTCCCTGGGCGACATTGCAGAAGACAAGCCACCTGGATGCAACCAGACCTCGGAAGCCAGAGAAGCCACAGAGAAACCACTGCCAGCACTGAGATGCTTACAACGCCACTGGACCCAAAGACTTTCTACCCACTGGCTTGTGATTGTCCTGCATTTGGCTTCATTGCATGTGTTTCGTGAGTCTGAGGAAGTTTATAGATTGGTGTCGGACATATGGGCTAATATCGGACTTATGGACCTGATGTGGACTGGGCTGGGATGTTTTCTCAATGTTTAATTGCTCTTGTATATAAATCTCTTTCTTATACACATAGGTATGTCAATGGATTTGTTTCTCTAGTCTACCCAGACTAACACATGCAGACTGAAGAAGAATCAGTACATTTGGATTAGGGTGATGGTGAAGAATATTAAAGTACCACGAAGAAGAAGAAATATCCGTCTTGAAGAAAAGCCAGAATGCTCCTTTGGCAAGACTTTATCTTGTGGACTTTGGACATGCTATCTCGAGAGACCAGTTCTTGGAATAGGAGCTCCTGCTTGCTGACTTAGAGGGTCAGCAAAAAGGAGGAAGACTTGACGGGATGGATTGAAGCCGTGGCTGCAACAATGGGCCCGAACTAACAACAATTGTGAGGACTTGCTAGTGTTCTGTTCTGGTGTACAGAGGGTTCCGATGAGTTGGAGCTGGTTCAATGATCCCTAACACCAAGAAAAAATAATGTGGATGTAATGATTTGATCTGCATATGATGATATTTAGACTTCACAAAAACTCAAGTCGAAAGCCGTGCACACCTTGCCATCATTGTGTAGATCATTTGGGGAAAGGACATGGCAACCACTTTGGTCAGAAGACCCGTTATTTACATCACCAGATATTCCAGTACACTACAGCTCTCTCAATGTATGGGTCTGAGAATCATTTACCGTGATCAGGTCAGCAAAAGCAAGGACTGGAGGTGGATTCTCAGCATGGGTGATAATAATGGTAAATATCTGATTGTCCAGGTGGTTATGGTCCATGTCAGAGACAGAGAAATGGAAGTTATCAGTAACCAGATGACCACTGGGCTCAAAGATAGCTGAGTACCTATAAGGGACAGAAGAAGAATCAAATTAATGAGATGCATTGACTAGTCAGGTAAGGGAACTACATTTCTGATAAAAAATGGGGCCAGAGGCGATATGCTATTTCAAGGTATCTGCAACCAGTGGCTTAAATGTTTTACAATACATGTATTTTAATTAAGCGATTTTTACTGTTGTCATCTGGTCAGACCCTGACTCGTGGCAAATTCACACAGAACACAAGAAAATGCAGTGCAGTTCTGGTCATCCTGTGATCGGTTGCAAAGGAGACAACTGGACGTGTTATTGGCCAAGAATTAAAGCTGGGTCTCCTGTAGAGAAGGCAAGAGTTCTACCACCGAACCACCACTGCCCCCATTGTTAAATAATGCACGTGCTTCTGTACCTAATGTTGTTGTTGTTGATGTCTTCCATTGTGAAATTGGAAAGCTCTGCCAGTTCTTCCACCACTTGCCTGGAGGTTCTTAAGAGCGTACCATACGTAGGCAGTGAAGTTAGCCGAATCCATATCTCTGGGTCAGGGGAAGAATCATCCTAATCAGGCAGATACAAGGCAGGAGATGAATACGCTTTTGCAGGGATAAATACCACCAGTAAGTAAGGGGGAAAGAATCACACGTGCCCCTTCTCTGCCACCTGGAAGGCCTTCTTTCCCTTTACCATAAAGCAGCATCATTCTAAACTGCATGAAACATCCTGGGATTATTCCTCTAGAAAGGCTCTTTGATGGTCTCTTCTTCCAGGAGTCACTCCGGGTAACAGAGGGCAATGAGTGCACTGAGGTCAGGGCATAGAACAAAGAGATACTCTATCATTGCTCAGAAGAGCCACGCAAGGTTTTGGTTTTATTACAGTCATTAGTGAAGAATTGAACCTGGTCTAAGCTAGAAGTCATCTATCTATACAGAAAGATGTAGGCTTATTTGAGTTTGCTAAGGATAGTTGGCGTCTTGGTTACAGGTAAAAGTCCATTATAATATATAACACAATGATTTAAAAAATGAAGATAGAAGGAATAAGTTATTTAGCTTAGTCAATGACCCACTTAATGTAATATTCAGCATGACAAAGTTTCGGCTTAACCAAAATAAATTTAGGAAATCCATGTATTCATTTAATCAGGATGCTACCTAGAGGTGCTCAATCGTCAAGCGACTCAAGCTCAACAAAGACCACTTCCGTTTCCTTTGCACGGTTTGCTGAGAGGTGAGGGGGGCTCTCAGTCTTCCTGCATGGGCAATAATTGAATGTCTTAACCAACCACTTCCTCCTCCTTCAGGGATGCTTCTGGAAATGTCTAGGGGGAAAAGTTCTTGGGAGAATTCTTTAAGTCATTCATCTTTCAGAGCATCTGCCTGTGAAAATGGGGACCATCTCCACTTTACCACAGAAACAATGAAAATAAATCTTGCATGTTCAATTATATGTCGGGTGCAGATGTTTCTGGCAACAGTCCAAATTGGTTGAGGCTTGGGGTCAGGAATGTGTGTATGGGCAACTTGATGGTCTGAGGACAGAAGTCGTGCATCAAGTCTTACTGATATTCCCAGAGGCCTTTTGTGTTATTAATTCAAAGACCTTAAAGCAAGATTACAGGATTAATTTTCCCCATTTCCTCATAAGGAACGCAACCTCATTGACGCTGTGAAACTTCAGAAAATTACCCCTAAATGTATATTCTTTAAAAAGTTTCTCTGCTTCTCACATGGATTGTCAAATAGAATACAGAGGCTTCTGCCTGACTACTTCCTCGTATTGCTGTATCTTCTGGCAGAGAACCTTCAGAAGACAGCTGAGGGCTCTGCTGAACTGTCTTCTAAGGTAGTGACAGACCACAGGACCGAGCTCCTGGCTCTGGATAAGAATGAACAGCTTCTAATTTCCAGGGCAGAAAAGTTGGCAAAGAAACGCTGAATTCATGAGTATCATATCTTACTGATAAATCTCAAAGGATGAATAGGTTTGAAAGTGGGCAGTTAACTTTTTAATTTTCCTGACAATACCTAGTCATAATTTAATGAAAGCTATTATGTTGGGGCAGACTATAGACCCTATTCTCATGCAATGTTCCTACTGCAAGACCTTCCTGTTTGTTGTGTTAATGCATTCATTCATTTTCCTTCCATTTTTAACACAGCCATAAATCTACCATTCAAGAGAAGATCTGGTAGTAAGATTACTAATACTTTGCTGGGTGCTCCTCTTTCATCTTATCTCTGGGGCTCTCATCACCTGAAATTTTTGTTTTCACTCCCTTGATTTCTTGATAGAGTTTGATATTGAGAATTCCACACTGAATATTAATATTTGAATCTTACTTTGATATTCAAAGTAAGATTCAAATATTATATTTTGATATATCATTGCCTATAATTTTGGTTCATTTGTTTTGTTGCTTTGTTTTGGGGGATCCATTTGTTTTTAACTGCTCTCTGATATTCTATGGAGTATCCTCACAATCGTAATAGTCAAGCTCATGGTTGCAGTCACAATCGTAATAGTTAAGCCCACGTGAGTTGCAGTTGTCAATCCAACTCATTGAGGATTGACAACTCATTCTCTTTTTTACTATCCTTCTATTTTGCAATCATGATATCTTTTTTCAGGGACTGAGCCCTCCTGATAACATGTCCAAAGAATGTGAGACAAAGCCTCACCATTTTTCTTCCCAAGCAGCAATTTGGCTAGGCTTCTTCCAAGACAGATTTGTTTATTCTTCTGGTAGTACAAAGTACTATTCTTCACCTTGACTCATATTTAGAATGTTTATTCTTTGTTCTTCCATGTATATTTATAGAATCATTGCTACTGGTATTTAAAATACCAGCAGGGTCAACTATGGCAGACAGGTTTTGGCAAAGTTTCTAGGCGAAGACAAATGAGGAAGGAAGGGACTGTCCAGTTCTGAAAGGTGGACAACCTGTGAACAGCAGCTGCAGATTTTCTGACACTGCACCAGAGAATGAGCCTCTCGGGCCAGAAGGAACTCAAAACCCAATGGGAAATTGCAGCTTCCTCAAAGTAGATTGACCTTCAGGATGTCGAAGGAACAAAGCTTTGGGGATCTTCATTTGCAAATGGGTACAACTCGAAATGAGAAAAAATAGCTGCAAACAGTCCTTAGTAATAAAATAAAACACACAAAGATCAATAGACTTAGCATTAATAAGCTAAAATGGACTGGTTTTAGCCATTTCAGATTGGCCAAACCTATGGTTTAGTTCACTGGGAATGACAAATTAAGATGAATGGTGTCACATTTATTGTCAATAAGTACTTCAAGACCTATCTTCACATACAATGCTGTCGGTGATGGGATATTATCCATATTCCTATAAGGAAGACCACTTACTCCAGCAGCTATTCAAATTTATGTACCAATCACTAAAGCCAATGAGGAACACATTGAAGAAGTCTACCAAATTTGTCAGCTTGAAATTGATGTCATATAATTAATAGGCACTGATAATTACTAGTGATTGGATTGGGAAAGTCGAGAAGAGGAAGAATCGGTATTTGGGAAACGTAGCCTTGGTGATAAAAGTGAAGGGAAAGGTGGTCTTTTACAAGACCAATGATTTCTTCATTACAAATGCTTTTTTTCCAACAGCATAAACATTGATTATACAAGTGGATCTTGCCAGATGGAATACACAGGAATCAAATGGACTATATCCAATATGATCAGTTAAAATGAGGAGGTGACTATGGAACAGATGATTAACTGCTCATAGACATGTTCAAGTTGGACACACACACAGTCCACCAGAGTCAAACATAACCTTGAGCATATCTCACCTGAATTGAGAGATCAGCTCAAGAACAAATTTAATGCATTGAACACTAATGGCCAAAGATCACACAAGTTGTGGGATGACATCAAGTTCATTGGATATGAAGAAAGCAGGAGACCATTCAAAAGAGGACCAATGGATGAATGCTAGAAGGCACTCTGAAATACTGCCCTTAAACAGAGAAGCTGCAGTAAGTGATGAAGTCAAAGAGCTAACCAGAACATTTCAAAGGGCAGCTCAAGGTGACTTAGGAAAATATAATAATAAAATCCCGGATGTTAGAAAGCCCCAGGATAAGAACAGTCTCAGCATTTCTCAAGCTGAAAGAACTGAAGGAAAAACGTCAAGCCTCAAGTTGCAAAACTGAAAAATTCCGTGGATAAATTATTGATTGGTCCAGAACACATCAGACGAAGATGGAAGGAATACACAGAGTGCCAGTATCAAAAGGAAGTAGTTGATGTTCAACCATTTCAGGAAGTTGAATATTAGTAAGAACCAATGGTACCTAAGGAAATCCAGGCTATAATGAAAGTATTGGTTAAAAAAAGGAGAAGAACTCACTCCATATGCAAGAAATTCGAAAGACAGCCACCAGTCTGACTGGAAAAGATCCGAATTTTTACCCTCCCAAAGAAAGGTCACCCAACAGAACGCAGAATTCAAACAATAATATGCAAGTAAAATTTTGTTGAAGAAAATTTACAAATAGTTGCAGCAGTAAATATAAGGGATTTGCCAAAAATTCAATCCAGATTCGAAAGAGGATGTGGCATGGTGCTTATCATTACTGATGTCAGGTGGATTTGGGCTGAAAGAATACGACAAATGTACAAATGCGCTTTATACAATTGATGTATGTATGGATTGTGATAAGAGTTGTAAGAGGCCCCAATAAAATGATTTTTTAAAAAAAGAATACCAGAAAGATATTATTTGTGTTTTATTGACTATGCAAAGGCATTTCACTGTATGGATCATAACTATGGATAAAAGTGCAAGGAATGGGAATTCCAGAACATTCCATTGTGTTCATATGGAAAGTATACATCGACGAAGATGAAGTCATTCAACTAAAACAAAAGGATACTGAATGATTTAAAATCAGCAGAGGTGTACATCCAGGTTGTTGCCTTTCACTGTACTTATTCAATCAGTATGCTGAGCCAGTAACCTGAATTTTCTCTATTGGCAACATATCTTCAATTTTCTCTGAAAACTGAAGTTAGATTCAGTCCTATCTATGTGAAACTTATGTTATTATACATAGTATTAATTTCTTAATTCTTTGGGGGGCTGGTGTATTGGAATAAACAGAAACCACGGTCATCGAGTCGGTTCTGACTAACAGTGTCTCTATGTAGAGTTTCTGAGGCTGTAAGTCTCCGCCGGAGCAGATAGCTCATCTTTCCCCCATGGAGCAGCTGATGAGTTTGTCCCCAACTTTACAGTGAGCAGTCCAATGCTTCCCTGCCCATGTAGCTGGGCTCCTGAATAGACATGCAACTACCTTTTAATACTTCGTTTTATAGCATTGTTCCCATAGGACATGAGGGCCTTTGTTGGTGAAGGAGAAATTTAAGGGTTAGGGAGTTTAAGTAACTGAGCATCGAGTCAGCTCCCGCCCGTTGTGACCAATGCGCACCAGAACGAAACACTGGGCAGTTCTGCACCTCCTCCTGACTGTCCCTCTGTTGTAGCCACTGAGTCAATTCCTCTCGTCCAGGGCCTTCCTCATCCATCCTAATTGCGGACCCGGTAGTATTCCTTCCCCAGGGGTATTGCTTTGCATAATGAACCGTGCGTGTCTCTGAAGACACTAGGTGAAAATATCCCATAGACTCTCTTCCCCGCCCCCCCCTGCCATCTCTTCCGATAACACGTCTCTTCATCTAGGTAATGGTTCTCTAATTAAAAACAGATTTGCCTGTGCCTATCCATTTATACTATTCCTGATTGATAAACAGGCTTTCAGACGGATATTTCAAACTTCCGGGATGCTCACTACAAACTCACTAACTTTTCATACCTACGGAAATGTTCCCCTGGCACCAAGTCAAATATCTTCTGCATCCCCCAGAGTAAGTTATCATGTAACTTAGTTGCGACTGTAGGATGTGTGCCCCACTGCTTTCAGCACAAGAGGACAATTCTTCCAGAGTCTTTCTGCTCTGGTGGGAAAATTCACATTCGACCAATTTCTGAAAATACATGTTCAATTGCTAATGGAACGGGCTTGTATTTGGATATGCAGCTTAGACTACATAGTTAATGGGCAGGAACTGCTCTTGGGGTGCACTTGGGCCTGTCAAACATTTTTCAAGCCTTGGTGATCTATTGATTAAATCTGCCTTCATACATTAAAAAAAAATGAATTCATGAGTCTTATAAGATCCTAAAGACCATAAAATCTGTGGTAAAATATCACCTGCCAATTAAAGATACAAATAAGTAAAAACATAGCTGTTTTCGATGTGGATTGTGCCCACGAGAAGAATCAGGGTGGAATGCAGTTTCCTGTCATTCAAGGGATGACAACTTAAGGGGGAAATCTACGCAAAGACAAGTGTTCCCAGGCCAATGTTTTATTGGACATGCTATTATTCCAGACTAGATTTTAATGTTAGGCTCGCTATTCAGCCCTGAAAATGAATTACATACAACTCGATAGTGGTGGTGGTTTTTATAAGGCAGATCACTAGAAGACATCTTAAGGTCAGTAAAGGCAAAATTCAAGCTGAGAACGATCGGCAGTCAGATATGCATTGTTCCTTTCAGGGCTCTGTCATTCTCAGGTCTACAGATGTTGGGCTCCAAAAGACCATGGGGAAAATACCATGATTTCTAAATTCCACTTGCCCCTTGGAGAACATCTGTCTGCTGACAAAACATGTAATTGCAAAATAAGATTAATTGTCCTACTCTCCAGACACAGCGTCAAAGAAAGGAGCGATTCTTGACTATCGAGGATCCTATATCAAGAGAGGGAAAACACCCTGAGTCACTGCCCTTACCCTTTGTCCTCCAAGTGCACTGTTTCTCTTGGGGCATGGGATGGAGGCTGGGTAAGTAATTTTGTCTGAGAAATCTGGCAGGGAGGTACTGCCAAAGGGCTGTGCTGGCATTCTGTCTAGAGCTGGACTTGAGACAAAAGCTGATGAAGAGGGGGTTCTCCCTCAGTGGGCCGTTACACCATTACCTGCTGGTCATTGCCAAGGTGATGTCTTCTCTAATGCTCCTTTCCCAGAATTCCCACTAGAGACATTAGAGAGCGAGCGTAAGAAGCAGTCTTGGGCATTTCTGGCATTGGCACTCTTCCTTGCCCACAATTCCCTACGCCTACACATAGGCATGGTGTTTCCACCTAAGTTCTGCCCATCACTTGTCTGCTGCCCATGAGACACCAGAATAAACAGTGTAGCTAATCCTGGGCAGCAAATTGAAGGGAATTTGGGGCAGAGGGCTCATGATATGATCAAATGCCTGCAGTCCCAAATATTGAGCCAAGGCATTGCCTTCCAGTCAGCCCTGTCAGAAGGTCCGGTGAACAAGAAGAGTAAACATGAGAACTTACAACGTAAGCAAGGTGTGACCTGGTGATGATGGCTGAGCTTTTAGTAGCCACCGTGATCCTCAGAGAGGAGCCAGCCGCCAGCCGAGGTCCCCGGCGCTCTGACAGCGACACCTCCACTCTCACGTCCAATGTCGCGGTGGTGATGCCGTCTGTGACGGCAAACTCCATGCTATCTTCCCGGGCAGAAGAGCCATCATGTCTGTACTGCAGAGTATTTTTCTCAATATCTTCATATGTGAAAGGGTCACCTTCCAAGAATAAAACAAATTGTAATACCAGTGACTTCTGGGAATCATGCTTTTCATTGATACAACACCTTTGTTCTCAGGCTTTCAAAGTACACAGGGGATCATAAACTCTGAGAGCTGGGCGCTAATTAGTCCACTGCACACCCCAAACAAGACTCCCTTTATCCTAGCTTGAAAAAGGGAAATCCTTGAAAAAGGGTTGTCACCTGTCCTGCAATACTTCTGAAGGTGGCGGGCTCGCTGCCATACAAGGTAGCTTATTTGACTGATGATAGCCCTAATGCACCTTTTAAAACAAAAAGGTTCTCAAATCACATTGAGCCAAAATCTGTCTCCTGTGAGATCCATTCATCATACCTCGTTCTATAGAAATAAAGACTAAGCCTATTTATTTTTAATGTTAAGACAGTCTGGAATATAACCTTGATATTGAAAACCTTTTTCTAACCTAAGAAAATCAATTATGCTTAAGGAATTTGTACCAGATCTTCATTTTAATTGGGAGTGGTAAGTGCTATTTTCAAATTTAAGACTACCTAAAAATTTTTAAAAATATGCCAGAAATTTAGAAATGCAAATACATCAATTTGAGCACAGATTCAGGGTAGATTTGATACATGTCATATTAAAAAACAAACAAACACTTCACTGTCACTTAAATTTGGGAAAAGAGGATTGAACAAAATTAAAATGACCTTTTTTAATAACAGGAATTATTAACACCGTACCATCTGTATTATTAAGTATTAAACTTCTCAAATTTGATTGGTCATGGAACCCTTTATGAGAAATGACTTTTGGTCCCATAAGTCCCAGGGGTCTCACAGAACACGGTGTAGGAAATGCTTTCCTTAAATGCTACACTCACCTCTACTTTATGACAGACTACTGGTTGTAGTAATTAGCATTATGTAACGAGGCTACATAATCTGTCCATTCTCTGGATTAGCTCCTAAACCTTCACTTTCTAACACGCATGCTATCTGCTTTCCTGATGCCAACAGCTGACATGCCCGGCTGCTGCCTGAAAGGTCACAGGGTCCAGTAGACCCAGAGACAAGTCAGCTGAAAAGCCTGGCCATCTGTGTCCAAAAGAATCAGCGATGGAAACCTCAAGGGGGCGCAGTATTTCTCTGATGAATCGGAACTGACTTGATGGTGACTAAAATCTCACAGTAATTAATACACAGGTGAAAGATTATGCTGAAAAACCACGGCGATCACTGTTGAGCTTCCCCAGTCATTAGTTCCTTTCAGATACCACACGCTTATCCTCATGATACTTCCGTGCAGCAACATTTCACACCAGGAGGACTGCCACACTCATCCTGGTTGCTCTTACAGACTCAATGTACCTTCAAGGGCCAAGACCGGCTCCTCCCAGGGGTATTGAGAAGAGTGCATTTTAACATGTTCTGGTGGGAATTAAATCAGAGGGTTTGAGCAAACGGATGGTTGGAATAAGCAGAGAGCATCCCAAAGCGATTATTCTGACAGGGATATTGTGCATTTAGGAATTACAACAACAAGAATCAAACCTTACCATTGAGTACATTCCCAGTGCACACTTTGCTCTATAAAGGCTAGCTGGATTTTTGTTGTTGTTGTTTGTTTTTTTAATTTAGATTCAGGTCTGTCCTTTGTGTGTTTCTATACTCTCTGAACAATCAACATGTGCTATTCTTTAATGCTGGAGAAAGCACAATAAGTAGTGTTTTGTAAAATTGGCCGCATGATCATGATCACGTACATAGATGATTAGCATCTGAGCGCTTAACACTGGATCCCCTGGGCTCTTTATTCTCATAGGCAAGCCTCCAAAAACGGTTCTCATTTTTTTTAATGGATGAAGATACATGTAATTAACACCACCACAGACTCAAGTGTCAAAAGTATTGTGAAGAATCACAAACCAACTGAGGAGGACAAATTAATCTCCATGAATAAACTACGAGAAGGCGGCAGTTGACACCTCCTATGGTGTTCTAAATGCATTTACTCAACCTTTCCGAAATCAACCAATGTCACCTACAATTTGAGGAAACAGTTTGCAGGGTGTGGATGGGGGCACAGGAGAAAGTTCCAATGAAGGAGGCCAACTGTGCTTTTGGGTTCTTTCCACATCGAGCCTCATCGTTTTGCTCACAGACACATTGGTCTTTACATATTGCACGAGACACACAGAATTGACGCAGAGGAGAGTCTCTCCCAGCACGTTCGAGGGCAGAGTGAGCTACCTGCGACCATGGGTCCTTGGAACTCGGCAGAGTACTTCAGGAGCACGCCGTGCTGTGGAGGTTTCCGAAGCTCGAAGTAGAGCTCGTCAGGTATGGTGTCAGCATTGCTTACTAGCACCTGAAGTCCTGGGGTCAGGAAACAAAACACGGGGAGCGAGAAAGGCCACGTGAAGAACTGTGAGCTGTGTAGACATGCAAGTCGCTGGCTAGGCTGGGAGTTCCCCAGGGGAGAAGCTGATGGTGATCAGCAAGCATTATTTAACTCCAATCAACCACCAAAGGATGAAAACTGAGAAGCACAGTACAATCAGTTCTCCTAAAAGCCTGCTTATGAGTAGTTCTGAATTTCAGAACATCTTTTTTCCTCTTCATACAAATGAGGACACGGCGCAGGGGAGGCCACAGATAGGTCAGTCCTGACTGCTGGGTTAGGGTCCTCCGAAACGATTCCCACTCATGGTTTCTGTTTTTCATCGTTTCTCCCCTCCGTTGCCCGTAGAGAAGTCCCAAGTCCTTTGAAGGGTGGCTAAAGACTAGAAGGAATGGAGCTACAGTATTTGTGCAGATATGATTTGTTTGTACGTCTGACGATAATTTACTTTAGGCAAATCTCACATGTAGAAACTAGATAAGGATCTAGCAGAACACATCCAACTAAAATTGCGGTATGCACTGTGTGCGGATGAAGTGTTCTTGGTAAACAAAAGGCACAAAACCAAAAAAAAC